TGATGAGTGGACAAACCAAATGTGGTCTATCCCTGCAATAGAGTATTTAGCCATAAAGGAGAATGATTACTGATACATGACACCACATGGGTATATCTTGAGGCCTTATGCTCAGTGAAGGAAGCCAGACACAAAAAGCCACGTAGTATACGATTCTATTTATATGAAAATCCCAAACTGGCAAATCCATAGAGACAGAAAACAGATTAGTGGGAAGCAGGAGCTGAAGGCACAGGGGAGAATGGGGAATGACTGCTTTATGGGTAGAGTTTCCTTTCAGAGTGATGAAGTTAGTCTGTAGCTAGATAGGGGTCATGGTTGCAGACCATTGGGAATGTACTAAGTGACACTGAATTGTACACTTTAAAATGGTAAAAATAATAAATTCCATGTTATATGTATTTTATTGTGATAAAAAAGGTGTTCATTCTCTCTCCCTTTCCCTGCTATTGTGGCATGTGCAATTGATTTTGTTCTTCGTCATATCTTCTCACAAGACCTTTAGGATCAAGTGATTCCTGGCCAAGAAACATAATCAAGAATTATCTTATCCCTTGATGGGTTTGAATGAAAACTGGTGATAAAATCAGGTATAACTCCAAGAGGAGACAATAGGGAAGAACGAAGCTAGGTGTGTAAGGAATTGCACATGAGATCACACATGTATTTATGCTGTATCAAAGTCACTAGCATCTTAAACCATATCAAGCTGAAAACATCACCACTACCTGGACAGCTGGGCATGCTTAATTGGGAAAATGATTTTTCTGTTTGTTTCTGTGCTTCTGCACTAGAATGTTGTTTGTGGGACTTTTTTTTAAAGGTGTTAATATGGGGTACAGTATGGGTGACTGGTGGCCACAAAGCAGAGTGAATGCGAAGTGAGTAAACAGTGGGACCGGATGGGGAAATCTGGGGCACAGTGGGAGGGAATAGATTTGAATGATTGGTAGAGTAGGAAGGAATGGGAGCCAGGAGGGACAAAGGTGAGCTGCTATGGAGGGGCCTGGCAGTTTCAGACTTTATAGCTGAATGAGTCCTGTTCTTCTGGAAAGCACTGATGGAGAAGAAATACCCCCACTCATTTGTGTTCTGGGAAGTGGAGAACCGCAAAGTTCCCAGTATTAGCTCGAGCTGCCGTAACAAAATACCACAGACTGAGGAGCTTAAAAACAGAATTTAGTTTCTCACAGTTCTGGAAGCTGGGAAGTCCAAGACCTAGGCACCAGCCGATTTGATTCCTGGAGAGAACTCTCTTTCGGGCTTTCTGAGAGCCACCTTCTCAGTGTGTCCCCACATGACCTCTTTGTTGTGTGGCAGAGGTGTCTCTTCTAAGGACGTTAATCCCATCCAATCTGGGCCCCCCTGTATGATCTCATCTAACTTTAATTAACCTCCCAAAGGTCCCATCTCCAAATATCATCATTTTGGGGGCCAAGTCTTCAATGTATGTGTTTTGAAGGGGACACAATTCAGTCCATAGCAATTCCCAATACCTTTGCATATTCCAAGGTAAGACCAGACTCTGTCCTTCCTGACTCAAGGATGACTTTTTTTTTAATCTGCCTCATGTTAAAAAAAAAAACAACCAAACCATAGGTTCAAAATGGTGTCACTTAGACTGAATTCCCAAATATAGTCCCAAAGACATAATCTTTTTAAAATTATTTACATTTTGTTAATATACAGTGCGATATTGGTTTCTGGAGTAGAATTCAGTGATTCATCACTTACAACACCCAGGGCTTGTCACCCTCTTTAATAGCCATCACCCATCTAGCCCATCCCCCACCCATCTCCCTCCATCAACCCTCAGTTTGTTCTCTATCATTAGGAGTCACAGCGGTTTCCCTCCCTCCTTATTTTTTTTCCTCCTTCCCCTTTGTTCATCTGTTTTCTTTCTTAAATTCCACATGTGAGGGAGATCATATGGTATTTGTCTTTTTCTGACTGACTTGTTTCACTTAGTATAATATACTCTAGCTCCATCCATGCTGTTGCAAATGGCAAGGTTTCATTCTTTTTGAGGATTGAGTAATAGTCCACCATATATATACATCTATCTGTCTATATCTATGTGTGTGTGTGATATCACACACACACACACACACACACACACACATATATATATATATATTACACACACACACATACATATACCACATCTTCTTTACCATTCATCAGTCGATGGACGTTTGGTCTCTTTCCATAGTTTGGCTTTTGTTGATAATGTTGCTATAAACATTGGGGTGCATTTATCCCTTTCAATCTGCATTTTTGCATCCCCCAAAGACATAATCTAATTGCAGTTCCAACTTCCTGAAGAAGTGTAGTCTTAACCAGACAGCCAGGAATTTTTCAATCCACATCAATGAATCTGCCACTTGAGCCCTTTCCATACCACTCCCAAAAAAGATGAGGTAATCTGTAGGATAAGACATCTTGCTTTTATTGCACTACTGGGTATTTACCCTAAAGATACGAATGTAGTGATCCAAAGTGGCGTGTGCACCTGAATGTTTATAGCAGCAATGTCCACAATAGCCAAACTGTGGAAAGAACCTAGATGTCCATCAACAGATGAATGGATAAAGAAGATGTGGTATATGGAATATTATGCAGCCATCAAAAACCGAAATTGCACCATTTGCAACGACGTGGATGGAACTAGAGGATATTAGACTAAGCGAAATAAATCAATCAGAGAAAGGCAATTATCATATGATCTCACTGATATGAGGAATTTGAGAAACAGGACAGAGGATCATAGGGAAAGGGAGGGAAAAATGAAACAAGATGAAACTAGAGAGGGAGGCAAACCATAAGAGACTCTTAATCTCAGGAAACAAACTGAGGGTTACTGAAGGGGAGAGGGGTGGGAGGGAGAGGTGGCTGGGTGATGGACATTGGGCAGGGTATGTGCTATGGTGAGTGCTGTGAATTGTGTAAGACTGCTGAATCACAGACCTGTACCCCTGAAATAAATAATACATTATATATTTAAAAAAAAAGGGCACCTTGCTTTTCCCCCTAGAGTGAGGCCTGGCCTGAAACAATCCTTTTCTTTTGTTAATAACTTTCTTGCCCTCATCCTTCTGTACAAATGTGCCATTTTTTACAACTCCTTAGAGCACCTCTCTACTTGGTGGGGGAGGGGTGGCTTCTGGCCGATTCATGAACCATTTAATAAAACCAATTAGATTTTCAAATTTACTTGGTTAAGTTTTGTTACTTAACACTCTATAAAACCCCAGGTCCCTTTCCTTGCCTTTGAGATGTTCCTCGTTAATGAGTTTTCCCCATTGCAATAGCCTGAAAAAAAAATCATCTCCTTAATTATTATGTACATTTTGCCTTTCACATGACTAAGTGGTAGAGTGTGATTAATAGGGTAGAGTGTTTAAGGTCCAGAATCTGAGCACACTGTCCTGGTTGACCCTCCATAGGTTACTAAGGCCCAGAGGCCAGGGACCTGGGACTACAGGACTCGAACCCTGGCATCTCGACCCTCCCACAGCTTTCTGGGAGCAGATGCCTAGAAGGGGGATGGAATGTGGGCTTGGCAGATCACTGTCAGGTTCGGATTCTTATTTAGTCTCTAACTGATGAAGTTCTAGAACCTAGGTGAGGTTCGGTGGTATGAGGTCTGGAATCGATGACCAAGAAAGAATTCTTTAGACATCTTTGGTGCAAAATGGTGGTTTATTAAAGCACGGGGACAGGACCGGTGGGCAGGAAGAGCTGCTGCCCCGCTATCCTGAGGAGTGGCTGATTATATACATAGGAGTTGGGTAGGTGAGGACAAAGGGGGTGTTCAGAAGGGCTATCAGGGTAAAGAAGACTGTCAGGATATTGAAGCCTGGTTATTATCACGCCAAGGCCGTTTTTCCCTCTAATGGGGCACTAGCATGAAGACAATTGGGAGTTTCCTGGAGGAATGTCACATTCCTCCTATCAAGTGTCCTTATTAGTGAGATTTAGGTTTAGAAGAAATTTAACTTTATTTACATTTCCTTCTACCTCAGCCTCCTTCAGTTTTGTTTATGGAGGGGAGGGTGATGTTAGGGCTTGAGGAACTGAGTTATGTGTCTCTGGAAATTGGGCTATTGCTAAGATAACTTCCTTGTTGTAAATTTCTAGGACATTTGTAAACCAAGGGAGACTCCCGCCTTGCAGGATTGTGATCTCTGCAAGTTAACTATTTGTTTTTCTTTTAGGGCAGTCAGAGGTGCCTGAAGAATGTCACACATATTACCGAGGGGAGTGGGTGGAGAGGGGGTGCAAGGTGGCTAGCTTTTGCTTTGTTCTCAGCCAGCCTCCTGCTCCCTCATCATAACTAAGACCTCCCTGTCATCCCAATCCTCCCAAGGCTTCTGTCTCTGGCTCTCCTTGCACTTCTGTTTACCCTTGTCACTTTCTTCACCTGTCTCTTTCTGCGAGGACAGACTTTCCCCCATCTGCGCTAGTGGTATCTCCCAAAGAGGAAGGCTAGCTGAATCGTATCTATCAGAAGGACTGTACTTCCCCGGCTCTCCACGCCCCCATCTCCCCGGTATTACGTTCTTGCACCCCTACACTTTCTCTCTATTGCCCCAGTGGTAGAGGAAGGGATCATTCCCAGTTTGCTTCCCTTCTTCCCACTAATAGTTCCCGGGTATATCTGTAATACTCCCGGTCTCCTCACTCCCACCTCGCCGTGGTATCTTCCCACGGAGGCGGTGGTCTCGTCCTCAGCCCTACGTTGGTACAGATCAGTTCCCATCACACCCGCAACCACGCGCAAAACTCTCCCATCACTAGCCTTTGCGTCTAGGGCGTCAGTCATGGCAAGTTTTCAAAGTCCTCCCGAAATCTCATCTCTTCTGAACTTTCAGAGACACCTATCTCCGCTGTACGGAATTGGCACCTTCGAAAGATGTCTGCTCCCTGACAAACCGGTTTATTGGCGCGGCCATTTCCTTACCCCCGCCCCCCGCCGCCTTCACGCCCCACCGCCGCAGAAACAGGCACGCTGGGCGCGGCCACTGGCTACTGGCCCCGACGGCTTCAGCGAGGGCCACTGCGCATGCGAGGGACAGAGCAGGACCCTGCCGCCGGCTGGGTAAAGGACTGAGAGAGTGGTTGTCGGAGGAACTGGTGACTGATTGGGGGAAACTCCAGGCGGAGCTCGCCAGAATCCAGGGGGAAACAGGAAGAGTAGGGGATGGAGGGCGGACGGTTCGCTCAGAGCGGCGGGGAGACAGCGCGGGTCTGCGGGCGGAGCGGCACGTGCGAGTGCGGGCTGTGTAAAGACGCGACGTCGCCGGGTGAGTACTTGGAGGGGGCCTCTGAGATGGGTCGTGAGAGTCGTCGGGGGTATGCGATGGGGGGGGGCCCCTAGGGGGGGGGAGGGGCCGGGGGGGGGGGGGGGGGGGGGAGGGATGGGGGGTCAAGGGGGTGGGTTGTGTGATGGGAGGTTTCTGGCGTCAGGGATGGGGGATATGTGGGGTGCGTCCTGGGGTCCGTGGGGGTGAATAATGAGGGTATTTGGGGGTGATGTGGGGTGCCTAGAGTCAGTGATGGTTGAGGGTGAGTACTGGGAAGTCTGTGGATTCCGTGACAGAGCGGTGTTGTGGAACGATGGGGCTCTGTGGGGCAAACAGATGTTCTTTTCTGTTTTGTCTTGGCTACGGCAGGGTCATTTAACCAGCTGGCGTTTATGGATTGCTAGCCTTATGATTTGGTGAACTTTCCAGTTTTCCATGCTGTTACAACTCTTCTCTTTTCTTCTCTCCGCTCTCCAAAGCTTTGCTTTTCTAGGCCACTGCCCACTCTCCATAAGGCAGACATGACTAATTTCCAGGTAAGTTCTTATTTGCTCTCCCCTCCCTGACCCATGTTAAAACACTTAGAAGCAAAGAAGCAGTAATGTGTAGTGGTTAAGAGCCCAGACTCTGGGGCCAAAATGTTCATAATAGCTTTGTGAGCTTAAGCAGGTCTCTAACTTCTCTGTAGCTTAGTTTCCCCATTTGTAAAATGATGATGATGATACCTAAGCCTTTATGATTGCTAGTGAAGATCAATTGAGTTAATGTTAAGTGTTTAGGGGGCACATGGGTGCCTCAGTTGGTGAAGTGTCTGCCTTCAGCTCAGGTCATGATCTCAAGATTCTAGGATCCAGCCCTGCCTTGAGCTTCCTGCTCAGTGGGGAATCTGCTTCTGTCTCTTCTCTCCCTCTGTGCGTGCTCTCTCTCTCAATTAAATAAATAAAATCTTTTTTAAAAGTTAAGTGTTGGGTGGGTGGTTGGGTGAGCCTGGTGGTGGGTATTATGGAGGGCACGTATTGCATGGAGCACTGGGTGTGGTGCATAAACAAAGAATGCTGGAACACTGAAAAGAAATAAAATAAAATGGAAAATAAAAAATTAAAAATTAAGTGTTTATAACAATGCCTGGCACACACATAATAAGGTTTATATATGGGGTTGGCATTATTTATACCATAAAATGAGCATGTATAAACACATGAAAAGTTAGGATTAGGGAAATACAGCAATACCAAAGCAAGGTTGATATGTATACATGTAGATCATAGGATCTTACATAATTACATTGAGCTACAGTTCTTTTTCTGAGCTTCTTGGAAGCTGTGACATATAGGGGAGAAGCACTCGTTTTACTTATCGTACCTATAGAGAGAAAGTAAGCCATTCCCTCAGAAGCAAAGATTTCCCGATGCTGAGGTTTCAAAATAATTCTCTAGTGGGTTAGCCATATCCTCATCACCAATCTTGTGATAATCACAGGGAGATGATTGCTCTGCGTGTGACTTAAAATATATCTTCCTACCAGCCAAAGGTGTCCTGCTGGGACAGAACTAAAGGGATGTGATACTTCAGGAAACCAGAGCCATGTCAGTACAAGCAGCTGTCATGTTCAGGGTCAATACAGGGATAAAACCTTAAGGGTCAAGAAATAACCAGTAAATGGGGGCATCCAAGTGGCTCAGTTGGTTAAGCATCTGCCTTCAGCTCGGGTTGTGATCCCGGGGTCCCGGGATTGAGCCCTGCATCGGGATCCCTGCTCAGTGGGAAGCCTGCTTCTCCCTCTCCCACTCCCCCTGCTTGTGTTGCCTCTCTCATTGTCTCTCTCTTTCCTTGCCAAATAAATAAATAAAATCTTAAAAAAAGAAAGAAGCAGTAAACCCCATACCCTCCAAATTATTTTCCAGTATTTCTTTAAATTAAAGTATAATTTAACATACAATGTTATATTAGTTTCAGGCATACAACATATTGATTTGACAATTCTCTACCTTACGGAGTGCTCACCGGAAATAAGCGTAGTCACCATTTGTCCCCCGACGACATTATCACGGTATTATGGACGATATTCCCTATGCTGTACTTTTCTCTCCTGGACTTATTTATAACAGGCTGTTTGTACATCTCAATCTCCTTTCTCTATTTCACCCATCCTCTCACCCACCTCCCCCCAATACTTTGTTTTTTTTTCTCATCTGAGATTTCGGCAAAGCTGGAGCAATCCAAGATCTGACTTTTTCCTTTTCAGGCTGAGAATTCATGATGTCCCTGACTGTATTCAGTTCTTTCCCTTTTGCCCTTTGCATGTATGTATGTACGTATGTATGTATGTATTATGTATTTAATTCATTTGAGGGAGCAGGAGTGCACAAGTGGGGGGAAGGGCAGAGGGAGAGGGAGAAGCCGATTCCCACTGAGCAGGGATCGTGATGCGGAGCTCGGTCCGGAACCCGGGGTCATGACCCGAGCCAAAGGCAGGTGCTTAACCGACTGAGCCACCAAGGCACCCCTCCCTTTTGCCCTTTATAAAAATGTCTATTTCATTTTGTCATTTTTTCCCCCCCCTCACTATAAAAGAAGTGGCACCAAAAAACTCAGACTCTTAGGAATGTAGTCTAAAAAGAGAAAATATCTCTAGGTGTCATATCATCACTCATTCCAGATAACCAATTCTATGGTAAATTTAATTTCCATCGACACTCCTCTCTGTCCCTTCTTCTTTATATTTACATACACATAAAAGCATATTGTTGCTGTTGACCTTCCTTTGCTAAAATTTGCTCATAATATACTAACTGTTTTGCAACTCCCTGTTTTCTCTTTACATGGTAATATTGATGAAGGTAGTAGGAGTAATGATAACGATAATACAGAGGATAAGGAGGAGGATGGTATTAGTGAAGGAAACAGGAGCTAACATGGAAAGAGCCTGCACTGTACCGGGCACTCTACAAAGTATTTTATTTTTTAAAAAGATTTTATTTATTTATCGAGAGAGAGAGAGAGAGAGAGAGAGCGAGCGAGCTCATGGGCACACAAGCAGGTGGAGGGGCAGAGGGAGAGGGAGAAGCAGGCTTCCTGCTGAGCAGGGAGCCCAGCACAGGGTCTTGATCCCAGGACCCTGAGATCTGACCTGAGTCGAAGGCAGATGCTTAACTGACTGAGTCACCCAGGCACCATTGTTTTATTTTTTTTATCATGAGAAGCATACTCCATAATCTCCATCCCCTACTTCCCCCATTCTCCCACTTCTCTCCCCTCTGGTGACTGTTAGTTTGTTCTCTATTCTTAAGACTCTGTTTCTTGGTTTGGCTCTCTCTCTTTTTTTCCTTTGTTTTGTTTCTTAAATTCCACCTATGAATGGGATCACATAGTATTTGTTTTTCTCTGACTGCCTTACTTCATTTAGCCTAATACTCCAGCTCTATGAATGAAAATACCCTTTCTAATCCTTTTGTCATGTTTTTAGTCCTTGCCATTTGATAGTTAAAATATTTCTTTTGTTTGTGTTTATTTAGTTGGCAATGAGGTTGAGTGTCTTTTCATATTCTTTCCTTTGTTGGTGAATTGTTCTTTTACATACATGGCTCTTTTTCATGTGGGTTCTTTTTTTTTTAAAGTTTTTTTTTAAGTAATCTCTACACCGAAGGTGGAACTTGAACTCACAACCCTGAGATCAACTATCATGCTCTACCGACTGAGCCAGCCAGGTGTCCCTTTCCTACACGTTCTTAAATCTTTTGTTGTTGTTGTTCTTATTATCTTTGTCTTATTTTTTATGGAAATATTTTATTTATTTATTTATATGATGCAGAGAGAGAGAGAGGGAGAGACAGCAAGAGAGGGAACACAAGCAGCGGGGAGAGGCAGAGGGAGAAGCAGGCTTCCCGCTGAGCAAGAAGCCTGATGTGGGACTTGATCCCAGGACCCTGGGATCATGATCTGAGCCGAAGGCAGACGCTTAACAACTGAGGCACCCAGGCACACCTTTTTATGGAAATATTAATGGGAATATTACTTAGATAAGAATTTGGGGGTTGACATTTTGTTGAAGCATAGCATACAGAGAAAAGTTTATAATTTGTGTACGTTCATGAACTACAAATTGGAAACACCTGAATCAAGAAACAGGAAGTGCGAAGTCACCCAGAAGCCTCCTTCACACCCCTTCCAATCACCATCCCCTGACTCCCGGATAACAGCTGATTTCTTTAAGCATAGATTATTTTGCCTGTTCTTGAATGTCACATAGGTGGAATCATACATTATTCTTTTATGTCTGGCTTCTTTTTTTTTTTAAAAAGATTTTATTTATTTATTTGACAGACAGAGATCACAAGTAGGTAGAGAGGCAGGCAGAGAGAGAGGGAGAAGCAGGCTCCCCGCTGATCAGAGAGCCCAATTCGGGACTTGATCCCAGGACCCTGGGATCATGACCTGAACCGAAGGCAGAGGCTTTAACCCGCTGAGCCACCCAGGCACCCTTATGTCTGGCTTCTTTCAGTTATAATGTTTTTGAGATTCATCCTTGTCATTTTGTGTATCATTAGTTTCTCCCGTTACTGTGTACTGTTTTATTGTATAAATACATCACCATTGTTTATCCATTCTATGGCTGGTGGATGTCCCCATTTTGGCTATTTCAAATAATGCTTCCATGGATATTCTCGTACATGTCTTGACGTGTGTGCATTTCCACTGGATATATACATAGGAGTGGGATTGCAGCGTCCTCGGTTAGGTGTACACTCAGCATTAATAGATTCAGCTAAAATGTTTTCCAAGGTGGCTGTACTCTTTTATGGTTTACTCTCACCAACAATATGTGAGAGTTCCAGTTGCTCCATACCCTTGCCAACTTTTGGGTCTTTGGTCTTAATTTTAGCCACTCTGTTGGTATATAGTTATATCTCATTGTGGTTTAAATTTGTATTTCCCTGGTGACTGAAGATGTCGAGCACCCTTTTTAAATAAAATTATTTATTTATTTATGAGAGAGAGAGAGAGAACACAAGCAGGGAGAATGGCAGGGAGAGGGAGAGGCAGGCTCCCCACTGAGCAAGGAGCCCAATGTGGGGCTTGATCCCCCAGGACCCTGAGATCATGACCCGAACTGAAGGCAGACACTTAACTGACTGAGCTGCCCAGGCACCCCTTGGGCACCCTTTCATATGTTTACTAGTCAGTTGGATATCATCTTTTGTGAAGTATCTATTCACATCTTTTTCTAGTTTTTCTATGAGATTGCCTATATTTATCATGATTTGTAGGAGTTCTTTATGGTTTCCATAGTATAAAAGTCCTTCGCTAGAGATAGCTATTGCAAATATCTCAGAGAAAACTTTTTGGAAATTATTAAACAGTAGCCTCTCTCTAAAGAATATTCCATTTATCTTAAAATATATAAAATATAAAATATATCACCATTTATCTTAAAATATATCATCATTGAACAGATCGAGTAGAAGGATGCGATGACGGAGATCAGTGTCATTTGAGGATGTAGCTGTGGACCTCACCCAGGAGGAGTGGAATCATCTGGAATCTTCTCAGAGGATACTTTACAGAGCTGTGATGCTAGAGAGCTATAGCCATTTGGTCTCTGTGGGTGAGCATGGATTTCCTGAGTAATTCACAGTGTACCAAATAGGATCACTTTCGACCTCTGAAGTGTTTCAATACTTTGACCTCAAGTTCTAGGGATTCAAGATTCCTAATCCCTTTTAGGGGTACAAACACCCTTTAGGTGTTTGTATTTTCAGCTCATGTGAAATTTATATTTACTAAGATATACCTTCCTAATTGCCTTGAGGCCATGAAACCCACACAGATGTGCCTAGGTCATCTATCATTTCCATTACAGGGTGTCCTGTTACCAAACCAGATGTGATCACCTGTTTGGAGAAGAGAAGACTTCAGATCATAGAGAAATTCCGAGTTTGAGTTATACAGGTAAATAAGAAACGGACAGATGGAGATGATGAGTAAGACCCCAGTGGGTGAGTGAGGGCTGGATGTCCTTAGAAACTGAGAAATGTCTTCCTCAAGGATATACCTTTCTTTTTTCTTTTTTCGCTAACTCCAAATTGTTACTCTTGTGAGTTGCTGTCTCATGGTAATCTTGGAATGGAGTGGTGAGGAACTAGACTGTGATCTGCCTTGTCCTTCTGCTTATTCTCTTGGTCATGTCAGTTGTTTTTAGCCTTCCTTTTTTTTTTAAGAGCGAGAGAGAGCAAGCGCACATGCACAGGTGCACATATGCACAGGTGTGCACATGAGCAGGTCAGAACAGAGGGAGAGGGAGGGAATCCCAGGTTGGCTCCATGCTCAGTGTGGAGCCGGACATGGGGCTCAATCTCATGAACCTGAGATCATGACCTGAGTTGAAACCAAGAGTCCATCGCCCAACCGACTGAGCCACCTACGTGTCCCATTTTCAGCCTTCCTGGAAGGCTCTTCTGTTTGAGTCCCCTTCCTCCAAATCCTGGATCTACTACCTCTCAACAATCCCTTTTCCCTACTCATGGCTTTCTAAACCTATTTTCACCTTCTCTCTTCCATTTTAAGGTATTTTTCTTAATCAAAGTCACTTGTATTTTTTTAAAAAGATTTTATTTGTTTATTTGACAGACAGAGATCACAAGTAGGCAGAGAGGCAGGCAGAGGGAGAGGAGGAAGCAGGCTCCCCGCTGAGCAGAGAGCCCAACGAAGGGCTCGATCCCAGGACCCTGGGACCATGACCCGAGCCGAAGGCAGAGGCTTTAACCCACTGAGCCACCCAGGCGCCCCAAAGTCACTTGTATTTATCATTACTTTATTGTTCCAATTTCTTTTAGAGCAACTTGTGCTTTCTTTACCTCAAGCTCAGAATATAAGAGACATATAATTTGAATTTCTTTCTGACTGGTATCTAGACCTAAAAGAAAATAAGTCAACCTTTCAGAGGTCTGCTTCTAACAAAAGGTAGATTCACAGGGAATGCTTTCTTCTTCTTCTTCTTTCTAGAAGTCTGGCAAGTTGACCAGCTGGAGAGGCACCAGAAAAACCAAAATAGACACTGGAGGCAAACTACGTCCATTAGAGAGAAAGATGTGACTAAGGAGTAAGGTCGTGAAAGAATAGATTTGTAAATCCACTTCCTCAAAGGACATGGGTGGTTTCTGCATTACACATACCCTATATACAGGACTCCTATGGAATAAGTTTTTTTTAAAGATTTTTTTATTTAGGGAAGTCTGGGTGGCTCAGTCAGTTAAGTGTCTGCCTAGGGTTTGGGTCATGATCCCAGGGTCCTGCGATCGAGTCCTACATCAGGTTCCTTGCTCAGCAGGGAGCCTGCTTCTCCCTTTGCCTGCCACTCCCCCTGCTTGTGCTCTCTCTCTCTGTCAAATAAATAAATAATCTTTTTTCAAGGATTTTTTTAAGGCTTTTAAGCTACCTGATAAGATTTTAGGAGATCTACTTTTTACTTAAATTCAGCAGAGTTCATTTTTGCTGCTTTTGATGAATATAGAAATCAGTACCCAGAGTGATGGCACTCTTTATAGATCTCCAGGGAAGTGTGAGATTGGGCCCTCCAGGCTGGCTGGGGCTGAAGGCAGGAGAAATCAAAATGGCATTAAGGAGGGGGGCTCAGTCATTCTCCCACTGGTGGATATCTGCTTTAATGATCATCTGTGCTTACCCTGGATGAAGTAAACACTGAAAACAAGACTCTGGGTAGGTGAATATCCACCCATAATCAAAAAGTACAAAAGGCATGAGGGACTGCTTCCTCACAGGTGTGGTTGCTTCTGATGGGGCCAGTACAGAGAGTGGCAAGTTGAAATTCCTAAATTCTCTGCCCAAGACACAGATTCAAATCCAGTCATTCCGTAAAAAAAGAAATTACTACCCTGCGCATCCATTGAATTCCTGGCCTAGATTCCCACCTGTCATTCGAAATTTACCATTACTTATGAAAGAGGGAGTGTGGGGCCAACTGTTAGAATAGGGAGATATGGGAGGGTGTGGGAGAATGTGAACACTTCAATTCCCACTGAGTTTCCTGTGTAAGCTGAAACCAATCTTATTTTCCATGGAGAGACTGTATCTACCTTAATTAAAGACTCTGTAGTGACTGCTTTTTAAGGAAAGCAAATTTTCATAGCTCCTCATCCCACCCTTCCATCTCTAGACCGATAACTGCCTTGTGACACTCTAGGTGCTTTCCAAACATTCATTCATTTAATTCTCCCAACAGTCCCATGAAGTATGTGCTACCGTTATCACCCTCATTTTGCCAATGAGGAAGCAGAGGCACAGAGAAGTTAAATGCCTTGCCCGATGCAACATAGCTCCTGAGTGGTAGAGATGGTATTTGAACCCAGGAGAAGCTATGCTCTTACCTTCACCCCAAGCAATATGGTGTCCCTGATGAGAGCTTTGAATGTATGTGGGCAGTGATTAAATGGGTGGGGGGGGTACCTCCAGGCATTGGGAAAATGAAGAGAGTTAGGCATCAGAGGACGCTTGTCTAGTTTATAGATACCATTCTTTATTAAAACCACAGAAGAAAGAAAAGAAAGGAAAAGAAAATCTCTTCTTCTGGGAAACCGAGTCACAAATGATTAACCTTCTTTGCGTCAGGTTTCACAGGCATATTGCATCCCTTGAGCCATTCAGATAAATCATGGCCAGAACAGTGCCGGGTCCATGAATCCCTGGGAAATGAAGGGAGAGGAGGAGGGTGAAGCGGACAGGCTGATAGGGTGGCAGTGGCATTATCCCAGCTGCCCAGGATCCAAGCCACCCCTATGAACTTACCAAGTAGCCATACCATCCTGTGAGGACACCACCTGCCTGGCACACAAGATATCATCTAGAATATGGCGGTTGAGCAGGTCTAGGTGGGGAGGGGAGAGAGGGACATAGTGATCTGGTGCACTGGGGACAGGGTGACAGTGTATGGTGGGCCCAGGGGTTCTGGATTCCTTGGAGCCTGAATAATTTCAACCACTACGTCGACTGATTCTAGATGACCTTGATTCACTTGTCAGCTGGTTAGGAGTGACCTCAACTGCCATGTTGGCTGGTTCTATAGAACCTTAACTCACACTGAGAGATCCTGGATGATCTTGACTGTCATCCTGCCTGGTTATGAATATCCTCAGCCTTTATACTGCCTGGTCCTAACAACCTCAAACTCTGTGTTGGCCGGTTCTGGATGACCTCAACTGTAATTTTGTGTGATTATGGATGATCTCAACTGCAAAGGCAGCTGGTCTGACATCATCTTAATCCCTGTGCTGGCTGGTAGGGAAGCTACTCAGCTGCAAGGCTGGTCAGTCTTGGTGACTTCAAACACTATGTTGTCAGGTCTTGGATAACCTCAGCTGCCACTTTGGTTACAAATGGCCTCAGTCTCCATGCTGGCCAGTTCCATTCAACCTCAGTCATCATGGTGCTTGGTTCTAGGTGATCCCAGCTGCTCAACCAGGGTGACCTTCACTGCCATTCTGACTGGTTAGTGATCTCCACTACAATGCTGACCAGTCCTGGACAACCTCAGTTGACATTTTGACTCATTATAAATAACTCCACCCTCCATGTTGACCATTCCAGGACTGCAACTTCCATTATAGCTGGTCCTGGATTACCTCAGCTTCTACGTTAGCTCAAAGTGAACAACCTTAGCCTTTATTTTAGTTAATCTTGAGAAAGCTTACTATTCATGTTACCCTGTCCTCGACAACTTCAACCTCTGTGGTGGCTAGTTCTGGACAACCTCAACCTTCAAGCTGGCCAATCCTGGGTAACCTCTTCTGTTTCTGTAGCAGGACTTGGACAGCCTCAACCTCCATTTGGCCTGACCCCCAATGACCTCAGTCCCCATTTTGGTCTGTCTTGGACAACCCAAGTCCCATTTTGGCCAGCCCCGGACAACGACCATTACATTTTGTCCTCAATACCACCACACTGTTATCTGGAAAGCTCTCTTCTTTCTGCACAGATATTCCTTATTTCTGTTCCTATAGCCAGATGTGCATTTCTTCCCTCAGGGCCTGAACAGCATCAACCCCAAGTCAGGACAACCTCCCCCTTCCATTCCACATGGAGATAAGTTTCCTGTTTTCTGAGTCCCCGAAACCTTCGGCCTCCATTCTTAGGGAGGTATAGGACTTCTGAGCGCTCCTGACCTGGACAAAATCTCCATGTAGTCGGTAAGGATACAGGAGGTGGTGTCTCTGACAGCCCAGGCAACTATACTCCTTTCCCTATAATTTTTCTGCTTTTGTTACTGGAGAGTATGGCTCAGGCAACCTTGCCCTCTATGTGTTGGGCAGTGGGGCCGGGCAAGGCTTCAGGGTGTCCGCAGTGCTGCCTCACCTCGACACTCTATGTGACAGAGGTTCTGGGTGCGTGTAAGGCCGTTGTTGCACCACCAGGCAGAGTTCAGCTGGAAAATGCCGTACTCGCTGCTGCCGTCAGGATTGTGGTCCACGAAGGAGGTGTCAAAGCCACTCTCATAGTGTGCCATGCACAGCCCTGGGGCAGGGAGGGGATAGATAGGAGGTAAGCATGAGTCCTAGGACTGGCTGGTGGTAGGAGAGGGGGAGGGTACGGGGATGGTTGTCATCTCGGTTGTGGGGGGGTGATCTTGGTTTGCTGGTGGTGTAGACGTTGGTGATTCTGGTGAGATACGAGGGATGGCAAGGGGTGTTGCCCCTTGATGGCAAGGGGTGTTGCCCTGTGATGACTCAGGGTAGTGATGGTGTTGATGGCAGAGGTGAGGGTGATGGTTGTGAAGGCAATGATGGTGAGGACATTAGAGCAAGTCAGGGGGTGGCCGAGAGGATCATACCCTAGCCTAGGGAGGTGATAAATGAGAAGGAGGGGCCTGGGTCTGAGTGTGGTGGGTAGCTCGGGGTGTGGGTGGGACTTGGGGCACTGGAATCTCACAGTCTCCAATGCTGTAGCCCCTGAAGCCATTGAGGCCTGCCTTCTCCAGCTTCACTGCCAGTTCACAGCGTTCATAGATCTTCGCGTCCACGGTGGCGACCATCAGTGTGGCCAGAGTCACCATCACAGTGACGCAGGTCTGCATGATAACACCCATAGGCCCTCCTATCCAGCTCTTTGCTCTAGACTCAGACGCTGCCCTGCTCAGAACTAGGGGCATTCTGGAACTCCGGGCCCTGTGAGCAAACACTATGTAGTAGATTCTGGAACACAGAAGCCAGAGGGCTGGACACCCTCACTGTCTTTCCCAGTGCCATCTCTGTTAGAGACGGAAACACAAGGGAAAAAAAGATACTGACCTGTACATAAAGATGGGAGGGGGCAAAACCAGGGAGAAACCCTGAGATGTCAGAAAGAGCTGCAGGAAGAAAGGAGCTGGAGACACAGAGATAGGACTCAGGCCCTGGGCCTCCTGCTCAGCCCACATTCCCACACTTTCCTTAACATGGTGCCACTGCACTGTTTTTAATCTTGCTCTACCACTTGGTTCCCTCCATTTCCACTCATTCTGCCCTCATCGCCTCCATCCCCCTCACTCTGCTCAGCAGTCAGCAGTCAGCTCGGTTCACCACACTGAATCCTACCACCTCGGTTTCTCATGCTCTGCACAATATGGCCCCCATGCCCTCGCCGTCCGCCCCTCGTTACCTCCATTTACTCATTCTTGGCACCTCGTTCACTTCACTTACTACGCCCTTATGTCCTGGGATCTGGCCACGTTTGCCCGATTCGATCACACTGTGCCCTCCACTACATATTATACACGACACGTGACGGAGATGTGCCCTCTACTGCTGTTCTGCTCCCATTCTTGTTCCAGCTTTCATTCCACCCCCCCAACCCTGCACCATTCACTTACACTGCCTCTTGTCCACTACCCTTCCTGCACGCTGGGCCTCCTATGGCCACAGTTCCTTAACCCTCTCCTCACATGGCCCCAGTTCTCTCACGTCGTATTCCTTCACATCCACTCACTCTTAGACTCTCATTTTCCACGTTCCCCTCTGCTCCTTGACACCGCACGAAGCGGCTCCCATTCACGCTCATGTAGCCCACCCTTCCGCTTGGTTCCCGGGCTCTGGGCCTCATTCTCTCCCTCATTCACTCTCTTGCTGCCCCTTCTTCACCTTTGTTCTCTCTAACGCCGCTCCCACATTTACCCCCATTCCCTTGCACTAGCTCAGGTTACCCGCGGATTCTCCTTCTACGCTTGCTCAGCCCCATTCCTCACTTTCCCTTCGTTGACTCCGTTAACTCTGCCTCTTGTTCTTCGAAACGATCTCACTCATAGAAATTTCCAGTGTAACCCATTTCTCCTGGCACCACTCCCATTCTGCACCTGATCTCATGTCTAGTTGTTTTCATTCTGCCCTATAGTACCTTCATCCAATCACACTCTGCCCTGAATTCACCACTTTTTGCTAACACTGGTCCCCATGTTTCCCCAGTTTAGTCACTTGGGGCCACATGACCTGTGACCTTTGTCTTTCCCTTTGGCTCACAGTCCCCACAGTGACTTGCCTTCTTTTTGCTTCTATTCCCTCTTACTCTGCCCAGCATTAGCTCCATTCATGCCCATGCGGCATCTCCTTCACCTGGTTGATGGATGCTGGGATCTCTGGACATTCCTGGAGCCCCACATCACCCCTGTCTGGTCCCAGTCTGCCCCTCATTCACTCTAGCCACTCCCCTTCTCCCTCAGAGTGTCGCCACTCGAACTCAACCTGATTCACACATTCACGTTCTACCATGTATACGGCTTTAGTCCCTCTTCTTCTGTCCCTTGTGCTCCCCATTCTTCCTTCTATGCCCCACATTACCTCCATTCCCTCCCACGTTCCACCTAAATTCACCTCTCTCACCCTTAACATGCCCCATAAACCATCATTTATTCACACTCTGGTCCTCTGTGCTCAAAACAATTTGCACTCTCCTGCTTTGTCAACTCCATACACATTCACCGTGTGAATTGCTCCATTCACTCAATCTGCTCCTACTTTCACTTTTGGTCACTTTAGCCCAATCCTCAATTTCCTGTCACTTACTCAGTCTCATCCATAATCTCGATTAATTCAAAATCAAATGCACAGGCATTCCCTCATGTGGCTCCACACTACCCACTTTCATTCCACTCTACTCTTGCATCCCCCTCCCATCTCCCTCTGTCTCTCCTCGCCACCATTCACTCCCAATCTGCCCTTCATTCACCATTATTTACCCCTGCCCCCAGCCAGTCCCATATGTCTCCCATTGAGTGACACTCACATTGGCCAAGACAGAACAGGCTGACAGGATTCATGTACCAGTGATGGCATGTACTACAAACACCAGTGGCTTCAAAAGAATGGAAGGGGGTTCCTCTTCTTGGAAGCAGGTAGTTCAGGGCTAGCATGCCAGCTTCAAGGTCACCAGAGAACTGGCTTGTGAGCTGTTGCTCTGACAAACTCACCCACTACCTTATGGTCCCAAGTCACTGCTTGTAATTGGCCACGCTTCTATAGTTTTGATGAAATGTATCTTATATTGTAAAGTAAGCTCTATACCCAATGTGGGGCTTGAGCTCACGACCCTAAGATCAAGAGTCACATGCTCTACCAACTGGGCCAGCCACATACCCCCTGATGAAATGTATCTTAAGAGCAATCGTGGTGACGACTCACTGGTGAGGTGGGGGAACTGTGGGTGGGAGTGTCACACTGTACAAACTCTGTGGTGGGACCAGCTGCTGTCAGCTTCCCACACCCCTTCAGCTAGCTACCTGCTGCTTAGACCACTGTGTGAGGAGGTCGCTCCGGCAGGGACTGTTGGCAGAGGATGCCCAGCACAGAGTGAGAGTCCAGCTCCTCAGCCCAGAAAAGCTGGCCTCACATAGGTTGTCAATGTACCTTGTGAACCCTGGGACGGTTCTTGAGGGGTGTATCACTGACTCAGGGACATTTCTGGAGCTGGCAATCTCTGTACCCTAATACCCACCAATCCTAAAGGATTCTTTCTATACACAGGTGTGTGTGTACAAGGTAGTGGGGGGATGATGTTTGTAAGATGGAAGAGGCCAGGCTGGGATGGGCCCTACAGTCTGGCCCTTCCTATTTCCCACTGACATATTTTGTACCCAAGAAGTACTGATCCTTCGAGGAGCAAGAGATAGGAGCTAGTCTTCTGTTTTCTCTCTTTGCTTTGGCTGCCAAGAAGCTCCAACTAGATTTCTGGTAAAAAAAAAAATTCCTTGTCTAGTTTTAATGGTTCTGGAATGAGGACCTGCAGATTCTTTCCGGAAGTTCTGTGGGATAGCGAATAAACAAAAGAATATTATTGGGTAGAAGTTAAGGATCCAACCTTGGAAAACTGTGTGACCATGTGCACATTACTTAGTCTCTCTGGGACTCAGTTTCCTCCTCTGACAAGTAGAGACCATGGGACTGTTCACAGATAGTGGAGACTGAGTGAGGCAGGTCATACCATGTGCTTCACACGGTGTGTGGCACACAGGAGATACTGAGCTAGGTCTGAGCCCCCATTATCACTTGCTGGGCCTGTTGGCAGAAGCCACAGTTTTTCCTGCTTTCGCCCTTGCCCTCTGTTGTCTGTTCTTCAAAGCAGCCTGCAGGTTATCTTTGAATTTTTTCCTTTTGATTAACAAAAGCTTAATATATGTAGATGCCTGATTTTATTTAAATAATAATACTAAAACATGTGGCACTTGCTGTGTGCCAAGAATTGTTCTAAATCTTTACAATTACCAGTTCGTTGGTCATCGTCCCCATTTTACAGATGAGGAAACAGCACAGAGAAGAGTTCTGCCCTAGTTACAAAGCTGGTGAATGGGGGTTTGAAACCAGGCTGTCTCCATCATGTTTGTTTGGTTCTGTCTTCTTCCTTGCTGTGTTCCCAATGTCTGGAATACTGTCTGTCATACAGGAGAAGCTCATGTTCTAGTGGTGCACGACTCGCAATAAACAAGAATTCGAGATTGCTTCTGATGGGTTTTTAAAAAAAATCTAATCCCTCTCACGGCTCCCCATTCTGTCTAGAATGAAGCATGAGCTCTGTTCCTGGCAGAGGAGGCCCTACGGCATCTGCCCCCCCTCCCTCCCTCACACCTCCTACGCTCCCAACACACTGCCAGTTTCCATTCCTCCCAACACGCCAAATTGGTCCCACTTCCCGGCCAGGAGGCACTTTTCTTCGGCTGTTTGTGTGGCCGGCTCCTTTTGGTCAGCAAAACTGCCACCTCCGACGAAAGGATTTCGTTCCTGCCCATCCGGAGAAAAGAACCCGTCAGCTGCGGCTTAACACGTTGGCTTCACCGCGGGGTGTGTGTGTCCTAGGTCGCCGTTTATGTATCCTTCAGCTTGTTTGTATGCTGTCCTTCAAAACTCCCGGCTTTAGCCACTGGATGGAGCCAGTGTGACCTTTCCCAACCTCCCGGCCTTTGTGCACGCTGGGCGATTCTGCCACGCGTCCCGTCTTCCTGTTCAATTACACCTGTAAACCCGACGCTGCCCTTCGGGTTCAAGACACCAAATTCCCGCCTGCCAGGATTTTCCTCCGTTGGGCAGTTCCCCTCCCCATCATAAGGAAAATGGTTTTCGAAGCCTCGGGCATGACGGTCTCTGTAAAACCAAGTAGACACCTGCTCCACAACACAGCCCTCGAGGTGTAGAGCCCCGGTGGGCGCGGCCATCTCAAAGCAGGGACCGCACGGGCGCGGCCATCTTCCCTCCGCGCAGGCGCCGCGGCCCCGCCGCGTTCGCGAGGGGCCAGGGGGAGGGGGGCGGGAGGGGGCCGGGTGTTGACTATTGGCGGACGCGGGCTCAAAGCCCCCACTGAGCGTGCGCACAATCCAACCGCTGCAACACTGTAGGTTGCGGAGCCTGAGTTGGTCCTGAAGCGGAAGTGCTTCTTGGGGCCAGTTCTTGCACTGGTTTCCTCTGCAGTGAGCAGAAAATCTATTGTCGAGAGGGTGAGAGAGAGAGAAAGAAAGGAGTTGAGAGGGCGAGTGCTAGAGGTGATGGGCGGAGTGATGGGGAGTTCGGGGGGAACGAAAGAAGGGGGATTTTGGGGGGGGTCATTGATGGTGGGACTTGTGGGGTGAGTGATGGGAGACCGAATGACGATCTCTGGGCACGATGGTGGACAAAGTTATGGGACTAGTCAGGGTTGAGTGGGGCTTGTTAAACGTTGACTTTTACACATTTTCCAGCACAGTGACCTGCGCTAAGGGTTCATACGCACTCCTCAGGCCCCTCCTTAGGCGCCCCCCGCCTCTCCCCGTGCCCCTCTCCCATTGCCCGCGCCCCAGGGTAGGGGCCTGATGTGAATGCTTCAGCCGAAGTGAATCTGCACCCGAAGGCTTCCTTCTGGCTCCTGGGCAAGCCGGCCCCAGTGAGGTGAGGAGAAGGAAGAGGCACCTGAGAGGACTCATCTCCCGAGCTGAGAGCTTGGGACTTGGGAGGGGGGTGGGCGACGCCTGGTGCTGCGGGGTCTGGGGGTGGATCATCAGGCTTAAAACGTCAGGAGGCTGATAGTTTTCCAAAAATTCAGTTTTCTTGGCGTTTAACAAATACTAGCACATTTGAATTACAGATTAATTAAAAATAGTGGGAAAGAAAATCAAAAGGAATTCATTTTATCCCCCTATGCCTATATGTCCATTCTTAGACAGTTTTAGGGTTTTAGGGCTCTGGGTTTTTAAACATTTCACATATAGTTTGTGGTGGGTTCCTGCGGTTTTATAACCTACCTTTTTTTTCATTTAGAAGTTGACTGTGATTCAGCTTAATTTATTCTGTGACGTGTTAAAAACTTTCATTTAGGTATGTGTACAGAAAAGTACACAGATGCTAAAGCATACAACAGTCTTTTAAATAGCTATGTAGCATTTCACCCCTTGTATCTCCTTATTAATCTTCTTATTTTGAGTCATACAGGATTAACTTTGGCATTCATAAAGTCGACGCTGAGATGAAGGTACTTACAGAGGAATTGTGATGCATTAGAGTACATTATTTCATTAAGGAAAATGCCTAGAAATACTATTTCTGGGTCAGTACACAAGTGTATACAGACAAAACCCTTTTGTGTTAGATCCTCATGTTTGGAAAAGAATCAAGAATACACAGGTGGTTGTTAAAAACCACACGGTTGCCCACACTTCCACAGAGTGGCCTCATGCCCAGCTTATGGGAGGGAATTCTTGGGCCGATAATTCTAGGCAGATAGTCCTGATGGGTTCTCTCATACTCTGTATACTTCTCCGTTCTTCCAGCTCAGCCTTCGCACATCTCTGCCTTTTCCCAAGAAGAACAGGAAATGGCCAAACCCCAGGTAAGTATGTGGTCTGTTCCTTTTTTTTTTTTTACCATGGATGTGATGAGCTTGGGGGAATTCCTGACATAAAATAGGAAATTATTTGTAAATAAGCATTGGGATCAGGAAAAACGAGAGACAGCAGCAAGGCCAAGTTAGAGTGTAGACATGTGGAGGACTTAGGGTGTGACTGGTACTAACATTGACTTACAGATGTCTCTTTGAGCCTCTGGCTGCCAGAGGGATACTTAATTAGGAAGCTGGCTCACCTTGCTCATCAGGAGAGAGCACACCAAGTCCTCAGGGAAGTGGAGGTTTCCTGTAATTGCCTTCCATGGCATTTCTTTTCAGAGTCTTCCTGTGGATGGCGGAATTGTCTTTAAGCACAGCCTGGTGATAAATGCAGTCCTTGGTTTCCTGCCGATATTTCTTACAGCATTCCTCAGTGAGCTGGTGACATAACGTCAAGGTGTAATTTGGGAACGAAATGTCTTAGGGAACTGGCTTTTCTTGAAATCATTTTCCTGAAGTAAGTTTATCAGTCAGACTTTGGGTTCTCATTTGGCCAAGAGACAGAGTCTTGCAGATGTGCTTATAGCCACATCTTTTTTCTTTCAGTAAAAAAAAAAAAAATTAAATTAGTGCGCAGGAATATTGAATTTGTTGTCACTGCCCAGTACAATAAATATGAACCCATTTGACGTTGTTAATGTCAGTGCTGAGGCGAAGGTATTTCATGAATACAGATGGGTGTAACTAATCTATGGGATAGAGAATAGTTTCATCAGGCAAAAAAATGCCTTATGCTACTCCTTTATGGTTCTCTCCTTCCCCACTTGTAACCTCAGACAACCACAGATCTGTTCTGCATCACTACAGTTTTTATCTTTTCCAAGATGTCATATAAAAGGAATCATATGTATGTAACCTTATTAAAAAAATTAAATGTTCATTGGAGATAATCGATTGATGTGCAGTTATAAAAATACAGAGACATCCCATGTATCCTTTACCTGTTTCCCCCAATAGTACATCTTACAAAGCTATAGTAGAATGTCATGACCAGGATGTTGACTTTGCTGTGGTTAAGACAAGCCCCGGCACCGCAGGGACCTCTTATGTTGCCGTTTTATAGCCAAATCCATCCCTTTTCTCTAATCCTCCCTTTCTTAGCCTCCTAGGAATTACCACTCTCCATTTCTAAAATTTTGTTGTTTCAAGAATGAGATAAAAATCAAATCCTGGGGCGCCTGGGTGGTTCAGTGGGTTAAAGCCTCTGCCTTCAGCTCGGGTCATGATCCCAGGGTCCTGGGATCGAGCCCCATGTCGGGCTCTCCGCTCAGCAGGGAGCCTGCTTCCTCCTCTCTCTGTGCCTGCCTCTCTGCCTACTTGTGATCTCTCTCTGTCAAATAAATAAATAAAATCTTTAAAAAAAATCAAATCGTACAGTATGTGACCTTTTGATACTGAGGATGTTTTTACTCAGCATAATTCCCTAGAGATTCAGACAAGCTGTGTGTGTCAGGTCTTTTTATTGCTGGGTGGTATTCCATGATCATTGATGCACCACAGCTTGTCTGTCCCTTCTTCTGTTGAAAGACATTGGAATTATTTCCAGTTTTTGACAGTTACAAGTAACACTACTTTAAACCTTCATACACGGGTTTTTGTGTAAACATCGGTTTTCATTTCTGTAGAATAAATATTGGATTGCTGGGTCACATGATAAGTGTATGTTTAACTTTTTAAGACTCTGCCAGATTGTCTTCCAGAATGGTTGAATCATTTTTCATTTCCACCAGCAATGTATAAGAATTCCAGTTGCTACGTTTTTGTCGGCACTTGGTATTGTCACTATTTTTAATTTTAGTCATTCTGGCGGTATAATTGGTATCTCATCATGGCTTTAATTTGGGTTTCACTAATAGCCAATTATGTTCAAGGTCTTTAGATACGCTTATTTACTTTTTGTATATCCTCTTTGATGAAGTGTTCAATCCGCTCTTCTGCCCCATTTAAAATTAGATTGTTTTCTCACTACTGAGCTTTGAGAGTTCTTTATGTATTCTGTGTGCAAGTTCTTTGCTGGATACATAGTTTGTGTGGTTTGTCTTTTTATTCTCTAAACAGTGTATTCACAGAGAAAGAATTTTTAATTTTGAAAATGTCCTGTGTATGAATTATTTCCTTTATGGATGGTGATTTTGGTGTCATGGTTAAGAACTCTTTGCTGGATCCTTACGTCATGAAGATTTTTTTCGATTCTGTAAGTTTCATAGTTTTAGCTTTTACATTTAGACCTGTGATCTCTTTTGCATTAATTTTTATATAAGGGGTGAGAAGTAGGTGGAGGGTTATTATTTTGCATGTGTATTTCCATTTGTTCCAACCCCATTTGTCCAAAGGATCATTTTTCTCTTTTGAATTGCTTTTGCAGGTTCGTCATAAATCAGTCGGCCATATTTGTGGATCTATTTCTGGACTCTACTCTGTTCTGTTGATCTATGTATCTAATCCTCTGCCGGTCCCACACTTTTTCTTACACTTTTATTTAAATTCCAGTTAGTTAGCATACAGCTGTTTCCATAATTTGGCTATCATAGATAATGCAGCTATAAACACTGGGGTCTGTATGCCTTTGAATTAGTACTTTTGTATTCTTTGGGTAAGTACCTAGCAGTGTGATTGCTGGGTTGTAGGGTAGCTCTATTTTTAACTTTTTGAGGAACCCCCATACTGTTTCCAGTGTGGCTGCACCAGTTTGCATCCCTACCAACAGTACAAGAGGGTTCCCCTTTCTCCACATTTTCCACAACATCTGTTGTTTCTTATGTTGTTGATTTTACCCATTCAGACAGATGTGATGTGGTAACTCATTGTAGTTTGGATTTGCATTTCGCTGAGTGATGCTGAACATCTTCTCATGTGTCTGTTGGCCATCTGGATGTCTTCTTTGGAGAAATGTCTATTCATGTCTTCTGCCCATTTTTAACTTTTTTAAAAAGATTTATTTATTTTCATGCTTTACAGGTGTTTTATTTCCTAAAGCTGATGTCACTGCAAGCTGCTTTTCCATTTTAAGTAAAACACTCAAATTGTTGATAGGTTTTGCTGGTGGCACGGGGTTTGTGGTGACCCCTGCACATTGTTTAAAAATTGGTCATACTGCACTGGGACACTCAGGTCCATTTCAGGAATCTTTTCTTAAATTACTTACTTCAGTAGTCACTGGTATTCTGGGGAAAAACTTTGGGAAGTTTCTGTTTGTATTTTATTGTAGTTTATAATAAATCAAATTATTTTTTATTAGTTTCTGAGGTAGAATTTAGTGATTCATGGGTTGAATACAATACCCAGTGCTCATTCCATCAAGTGCCCTCCTTCATACCCATCACCTGGTTGCCCCGTCCCCTACCCACTTCCCCTCCAGCAACCCTCAAGTTTGTTTCCTAGAGTTTATTGCCTCTTAATGGTTTGCCTCCCTCTCAATTTTCATCTCGTTTTTTTCCCCTTCCCTTCCCCTATGTTCATCTGTTTTGTTTTTTAAATTCCAAATATGAGTGAAGTCATATGGTATCTGTCTTTCTCTGACTTATTTTGCTTAGAATAATATGCTCCATCCACGTCTTTGCAAATGGCAAGATTTTATTCTTTTTGATGGCTGAGTAATATTCCACTATACTATCTATCCATCTATCTATATATATATATATCTGTTCATGTCTTCTGCCCATTTTTTTTTATTTGAGAGAGAGAGAGCATGCACAGTGGGGAGGAGGAGAGGGAGAGAATCTCACTCAGTCTCTGTGCTGAGCTTGGAGTCCAATGTGAGGCTTGATCTCACGACCCTGGAATCACAACCTCAGCCAAAACCAAGAGTCAGACTATTGACAAACTGTGCCATTCAGGCATCCGTTCTGTCCATTTTTTAATTGCATTATCTGTTTTTGGGGTGTTGAGTTTTATACGTTCCTTAGATGTTTTGGATACTAACCCTTTTTGAGATATGTCATTTGCAAATATCTTCTCTTGTTCTGTCGGTTGCTTTTTTAGTTTTGTTGGTAGAAGACTTTTGTTTTGATTTAGTCCCAATAGTTTACTTTTGCTTTTGTCTTCCTTGCCTCAGGAGACAGATCTAGAAAGAAGATGCTTCTACGCATGGCAAGAAGTTACTGCTGGTGTTCTCTTCCACAGTTTTTATGGTTTCATATCTCACATTTAGTTCTTTCATCCATTTTTAATTTATTTTTCTGTGTGGTGTAAGTAAGTGATCCAGTTTCTTTTTTTTTTAAGATTTTATTTATTTATTTGACAGACAGAGATCACAAGTAGGCAGAGAGGCAGACAGAGAGAGAGAGGGAAGCAGACTCCCTGCTGAGCAGAGAGCCCGATGCGGGACTCAATCCCAGGACCCTGAGATCACGACCTGAGCCGAAGGCAGCCGCTTAACCCACTGAGCCACCCAGGCGCCCCTCTCTCTTTTTTTTTTTTTTGAAAGTTGCTGTTCAGTTTTCCCAACACCATTTGTTGAAGAGACATTCTTTTCCCACTGGGTATTCTTCTTGCTTTGTCCAGAATTAATTGACTGATACTTGTGGATACATTTTGGGGGTTTCTTGTCTGTTCTGTTGACCTATGTGTCTATTTTTGTGCCAGTATCATGCTGTTTTGATTAGTACAGCTTTGTAATATAACTGGCAGTCTGGAATTGTGATGCCTCCAGCTTTGCTTTCCTTTTTCAGGGTTGCTTTGGCTATTTGGGGTCTTTTATGGCTCCACAGACATTTACGGATTGTTTGTTCTAGCTCTGTGAAACATGCTGGTGGTATTTTGATAGGGATTGCTTTAAATATCCAGATTGAGCTTCGAATAGTATAGACATTTTATTTATTTATTTATTTATTTATTTTTTAAAAGATTTTATTTATTTATTTGACAGAGAGAGATCACAAGTAGACAGAGAGGCAGGCAGAGAGAGAGAGAGAGAGAGAGAGAGAGGGAAGCAGGCCCCCTGCTGAGCAGAGAGCCCGATGTGGGACTCGATCCCAAGACCCTGAGATCATGACCTGAGCCGAAGGCAGCGGCTTAACCCACTGAGCCACCCAGGCGCCCCAGTATAGACATTTTAACGATATTTGCTTTTCCAATCCATGAGCACAGAATGTCTTTGCATTTCTTTTTTTAAAGATTTTATTTAAATTATTTTGAGAGACAGTGAGAGGTGGGGAGAGAATAGGGGGGAGAGGGAGAGGGAGAGAGAGAATCTCAAGCAGACTCCATGCTGAGCGTGAAGGCGGATGGGGGGCTTGATCTTAGCACCATCAATATCATGACCTGAGCTGAAACCAAGAGTCCAATGCCTAGCTGACTGAGCCACCCAGGTACCCATCTTTCCATTTCTTTGTGTCATCCTCAATTTCTTTTATCAGTGTTTTAGTTTTCAGGGTACAGGTCTTTTATCTCCTTAGCTAGGTTTGTTCTTAGGTATTTTACTGATTTGGGTGCCATTGTAAATGGGATTGGTTTCCT